CATGGCAGGGCAACTGAGAAGCTGCAGGTTTCATGAAAGGAATTAGAGATGAAGGTTTTGTGCTGGTGATTTCTAAAAGGTCCCCAAGTGTGATAATGGTAGGTGTTTTTCTGGATCCCTGATGCATTGAAACTCTTGCTATTGCTTTTAGTTGGTGAGGGTTTAAATTCAAGGAACACATTTTTACAAAAGAATATATTAATGGCAGGAATTTAAGACACTGTCATCCCACCTGCTCTGCCCCTTCTTCCTGCTGGAGGTTATAGAGGAAAGAGTATGTGCCTAAAACCAGTTGCAAGACATAATCCACCTCAAACCCAACTCCAGCACCAGTGAAAGGTGAGATGCTAGATCATCAGCTGAAGATGCTGAACTACAAACACATACTACATTCTGCCAAGCCTTTGACTGGAGCAGTAGCTTTTAACAGAGAATCTTGGCAGGCAGCTTGGGAACAGATCTTACACAGAGGCATGCACGCAATTCAGCTTTGAATCTGAGGTTCAGGCAAGGTCAGAAGCTCCCTGCATATTTGTGCTTTACTGAAGCCATCTGGTTTTGCCTAATTTTTGGCTGAGGCTATTTGGCTATTTTAAGCATTTTAGTCTGTAGTCAATGTCTCACAGATCCAGGCTTTGGTCTAGAATATGTCTTGAAATCTAAAGATCCAAAGAGGTTTTATTTTGGGGAAGGAACAGGTTATTGGTATGACTTCAGACTGCTTGCAATTAGCATGTGCTTATAAGGCCTGAGTTTTGAATAACGTAACGAATCCTCAGACCCTGTGAGTTTTCTTTATGCTGGAAAAGGCTTTCAGTGGGGAACTCTGGCTCAGTACAGAGGTGCTAAGCCTGAGGCTCAGCAGCAGGAAAGTATTTGAGCAGATTTCCTGATTGCTAGAGCTGATTTCTGATAGTTTGTTCCAAACCACTGAATGCAATGGGGATTTCTCATGCCTCTTTCCACTGGGATATATTTATTTTTCCATAGTACATTGTTGGTTGCAATAGGATTCTTACAATTTCCTGTCTCACCACTGCAGTTGCTTGCAAGTGACCAATTCATTTTGCCAAACTTAGCAGCATAGAGGCTGGCTCTGCATTTTGTTCACTAGATTTTCATTTTCCTAATAAGAAATCAGAAGTAGCTATCTTGCAATAAGCCACTATGAGTTCAATTCAGTGCACATCAAGATCAGTGCAAAGCCTGTCACTAGCTTCTGTGAGCTCTGGATCTGATACGGACCAAAGGCAGAGTTCACTGAAGGAGCAAGAATGCACTAATACGTTGTCTTCCATGATGAGTGCCCTGAGAAAAAAGTAGGGAAATCTGTGAACTGGAGTTGTCTCTAGGCTTCTCAGCAATATCAACGGAAATGTGCTGCCCCAAGAACTCACATCAATGCTGAGGGAAGGGATGGAGTTAAGATAAAGAACCAGTACGGAGATGCTTGGTCCTCCTGCCCCTACTGCCTCTTGGGAAGATGAAAGTTGTCATGGAAGTAAATCATGCATCTAAAAGAGCCTCCACCCATGCAGCTGAACTTAGTATCTGACACATCCTGACCCTTCCCTCAGGAAGAGCATCAGCTGCCAGCCTGGCCTGTTGGGACTCCAGCACAGGCAAAGTAGGCAGCAGAGCCACAGACACTTTATCATTCTTGGCAGTCTGTTGATTTAGACAATTGCCTGTTTTGCTTAAGTTTTGGACTGTCTCAGTTCTTTCTGAACAAAAAGCAACAACTCTGGGACTGGCTGGATATTCCTGAACTCCAGTATACTCTGGCCTTTTCATAGAGCAACTGGAGAAAGCAGTATTTAAGGAAACTGGTTCATCCTGGTAGGTGTGAAGGACATTTAGGTAAAGCTGTTATAGACCTTACCAGTACCAACTGAAACCATCCCCCAAACTGCCATTTGAATATAAGGTTTGAGTTAAAGCTGAGGCTTGAAGCTTTAGGTATTTTATGTAAACTATTGAAGTAGCAGCCTACTGGTCAAGAAAAGGTTTTAAATCAGTATGGGGGTGAGCTTCCCAAACACTAAACCTTTCTCTGAATTCAACTAACCTTTCACTAACAATGCAAGGACAGCTTCATGTCCTTGATCTGCTTCCAGAGACAATGCTAGTGACCAGCATCCTCCTTAAACCTCTCGTTGTATCAGAGGAAATCTAGTGTCCAAATAAAGAGGCTGATATTCTCTATCTGTATTTTATTTGCAATCAAAATACACCTGACTAGACTTGAATGTTGCAAATATCCTGCTTTTCCTACTGTTAACAGGTTAACTGTACTTAACCACATGCAGGTCTTCTGGGGTCTGAAATGTGCATTTGACAGTTTGTTTTTCTCTGTCTTTACTGGAAGAACTCTTTAGGTCTGGTGCTCAGAATAAAGAAAGCGGTGCAGCAGACAGGATGGAAAGTCTTACCATAGTGTGATGGAGAGACTGAAATGACAGTGACAGGAGATAACATACGAGGAAAATAAGAAGAAAAGGAGTAACAGCAGATGCTCAGCACACTGCCAAAGGCCTGGAGCTTGGGAAAGGTCAAAGCATTATCTGCATTATGGGTTCATGATTTGGGATAAGGACAAGCAATTGCTGTAGAACTCAAAATACAAGAGAAGCTGGTTGCTGACATGGCATCTGCCTTAATGGGGACAGCAGTCAGACCCATCAGAAAATGAAGAGGAAAAGTATTCTAGCTCAGTCACAAAGAACTGCATCAGACATAACAGCTACTGAGAGCTCTTCAGCTTCCTCCCTAATGGACACAACTTCTAGAATGCACAGACAAAATTGTTCATGAGGCACTCAATTCTAGTTAACAAACCCAAACCACAGCAGTTACCCAGAAACAAATCATAATAAAATGTTACATAGGTCTTAGGTGTTAACTCTGTCAAACCGTAGCTAACAACAATTCCCAAATTCAGGTAGTTACCCCAGAGGACACATTTGTCTGAACCATTAACTTCCCAAAGCAGATGGTACTCTTGGGCATTTGCTCAAAAACCTTAAAGAATATTCAAACACAGCAAAGATCATAATGGTAAACCAACTTCTTCACCCACTAGTAATGTTCAACATCTTTCACAACAGGCCTTTGGTATACTTACATTAATATATATGAAAGTACTGAAGAAGTTAGATCTATTTCCTAGGGATTCTCCACTGCATTTATACTTTCCCACCTTGCAATCACACAGCCTATCAAAAATCAAAGTAAATGTTACATTTAAATAGCCTGTGATGTAGCTATCCAAAGCAACTGCACAGTTATGTGATGCACTGCTTATCTAATTGAAACACTTTTCCTGTGTATCAGTCAGGAAAAACAGACGTGATTAAAACAATAAACTGTTACTGTGTTTCCAAGAATAACTGAAACGGTAGAACTTTATGCATAAAAGAGCAGGTGGACTGCAAGATTAAGGGGTGTTTGCATATCATTTGGCTAATTCACCTCACTCTTTCAATCGTATCTCATTTTATTGCAGTTCCCACTTTAGGCAAGTACAGTCTTGTAAGTGCTTTGAATTCTATCTCTGCTGTACCAACCCTGAGTTTACACTACAACTCACAAAACATGCTTCTGGTGCATAGCACTTTCCATCATGTCAAAAATAGGAGTGATGAAAGGTGTAATAACCAGCTTCACACCCTGGCAGAAAGCAAGGGGGGGTTATACAGCCAGATTCTGCCATTTGCTGTAGGTGCATTTCACACTCACTGGGAAATGTTTCAGAACACTGGTGACCTTTGGGCTCAGCCCTAACATGAGCTGGATTTTCCTCATGATGCTGCCAGGTTACCCTGCATGAAGTGCTGTGTCCTATTCTTTAGTGTAAAGGGTATTCTGCTTTTAGCTGCAAGGCTGTTACAAATGAGCCCAAGGCACAGGCTCAGCACCAAGCCAGGAGTGGGGATTCTGAATTTCTGTTCCCAGTGTTGTCACATTCTAAACACATTGCCTTAACTGAATGACCTAATCTGTTTATTCAGCTGCAAAATTGAGATAAAAACTGCTTTATAAGTCCCCACAAGGGAAAATTAAGTAATGTTTTCTGAAGTAGTTGGAGACCCTCACATGGAAGATTCCCTAGAAACTGTGTCAGAGCAGGTGGGAAAGCCCTTGGAAAAATAGCAAATTAAACCACAATGATCCTGAATTAAAAATGGCACACAACAAAGCCACTTGGTAACGTGGATGGGGACAAAACCTCAACAGTTTGCAGCCCTAATATTTACAAATCTAGACTTCCTAACACAATGAGAGGAAAGGAAATCCTTTCTGATTTAGTCTCTGTCAAACTACGAAGAAACGCTTTTAACCTACTGTCTCTGAACTCATTAGTGCCAGAACATTTATAGTCAATAATTGCTAGTAAGCTGCTAATGCCCTTAAACAAAGTCTGTGTTACAGGAGGTGGAAGGGCAGAGTAGCTGGCACATAGAGCTCAGACAATTTTTCATGGCTCTTAAAACAAACAATCCACCCTGCTGAAGTGATCAGATTGCTTTAAAGGGTTTTAGAGTTTGTTGTGAGAGGCTTTATAGATATTTGCTGGGGCTATACCAAAAGCAGTGTAATATTTTATAACTCATGGCAAATATGCTCAGCTAAGAGGGGAAGTGTTGTTCTTGAGCAGTTTGAGTAACACAGCATAGCATCTTATTCCCTAAGAGGGCATGTTCAGCTTTGGACTCAGACCAGATGTATGGCCTAACTACATGTCAGATACAGTACAGATGGGGTGCTGAACTAGATGTTACAAATATTAATCTCACTGCATTAATTATGATTGGTTTATGGGAAACCATGGAAGTGGCGTACAATTAATCAGCACCTGTGGTTTTGTAGCTGCATTTCAGCATGTTCCTATGTGACCTGCATCTCTGTTTTATGGCACATATCTTCTAAACTCACAATTTTACCCCTATCTCTATACAAATACTTCCTTTATGTGTTTAATTTTTCACTAGCTTACTTACCATTATTAGCTTTTCTGATTTCACTATAAACTGTTTCAGTCCCCTTCTGTACAGGAGCTGGAAAATGTATTGGCACAGAATCAATTTATTTTCCTTTTTTGTCCTTTTTTAACTTTCTTTTTTTGTTTGCCTTATGAAAAGCTCCTTACACAAACAGAACACACTGGTTTACTTTCAGAGGAAGTAGTTACACAAGCAGCAACAAGCCTGTGGAGTCTGTATTAAAAGCAACCACACCCCCTCCCCAAACCCAGCCTGTAAGGTTCTGAGAGGGAGATGTCTTTCCCTCTGCATAAAAATGACAATGAAAATTGGCTTCCTTTTCTACATTTGACTTTAACATTCTTATCATCTTCTCAAATTGATACTGCCTTAATTTTACTGAGACATCTGCTACTAGAGAAGAGTTCCTCTGGATCACTTGGAAGACCTTTATTTTGATCTAGGGATTTAGGGATCCTATACCTGAGGAGATCTACCATTTGGAACACTAACTATATACACTTTTGACAACTAGCCTGGGCACCCACACACAAAAGTCGAATCTGCTGTTCTCTGTGAAGTGTCTCAGAAGAATGTTAGCAGATTTCACACTGTGCAGCTTCTGTTTAGGTGCTATCTGGGAAAGGTCTCCTCTCAGTTCCTCAGGTGGTAGACTATTCCCTTAGTGCACTAAGATCAAGCGGACATAGCAAGACTGAAGGCTAAGAAGGCTTTTGGAAAAACAGAAAGATAGAAATTAAGGAGAAAAAGCAGACAGGGAGGATTTGTGCCTCCAAGGACACAGCTGAGATACAAATGTAATGTTAGTGTCAGACACTACTTTTCCATCCCTTAGGTTTACGAATAGACCCCTGTAAACCTCTGCTTTTGTATGAGACAGAAAGCCAAAAGCTGTTCCCTTTTTGCTATCTGAGTTTTAATTCCAAACTGCAGGCACTTACCCCAGCAGGGAAGGTGCAGAGCTGTGTGTCAGTTTATCTATGTCATTCTAAACACAGCTCTGGCTGGTACGAGATTAGAACAATTTCCTTGATTTCTTGCATGTTTCCAGGTACAGAATCCCTGGGCCAGCATTGTAAAGCAAAGTGCTATAGAACTCTGTGCATTTAAAATCATTTTCTCCATTTGGTATAAAGCCTGTGCAGGCAGGGTCTAGGAGCTTGCTGTTCAAGGATCTCAAAGCAGTTTAGCCATGTTCATTCATTTCAGTTAAACTGAGTATCTTAGACAACCTCAGAATTCTATCAATATCATCTCCAGTTTCTGTGGCTCTTCAATAAACCAAGAGGTGAGATTTTTCTAGTTAAAGTGAGAACTAGAAAAACTGCAAGAAACTGGAGAGAAAATTCACATTTCTGGAGACAGAGCCCTGTACTTTAGCTATTAAAAAAACATTTAAACAATTCAGGCAAACTGATCTGCAGCCGGTTCCAGAATCAGGACTGTTACTGCTCTGCATCTTGCTGAAGAACCCAACATTCTGATTTCCTGAAGCTAATTCCATTTGTTTTAATTCGGTTAAGCATCGTTAAATGCTGGGAGCTCACACATCAGAACTGAGTTGCAAACCTGTGATTAATTTCAATGACAGCAGCAGTTACACTTCACTGCGGGCCTAATCACAGCTCCCAAACTCAGTTTTGGCACTGACTTTCTTTGCAGATTAGTCTTAAGAACTTGCAGCACATTTCATGTGCTTATGGGCTATTCCTTAAGTCATCAGTTCACTTCCCAGTGAAGGAAGAAGAAATCTTCTCAGAATGTTAACAGCTCATTTTGTTTGGAATACATTTGTTAGCAGATGACAGTCCTAAATCTGCTCCTATTGGCTCTGTGGGAAGCGGTAGGAGGAATTTCCTCAGCCTGCCTGTTTTGTTTTTTTTCCAGACCATTTCATTAAGTTGTGATAAAATGCCATTGCCCACGGTATTTTCTTTGTTAATTTTCCACACGGTGCCTCAGCACCGAAAAAAATGAGCTTGGAGAAATTACTTGGCTGATTTGACATTTTGTTTCCACTAACTTTACAGTGTTGCCACCCTGCAGGTAAGTAACCAGCCATGAAGTAAAAGAAGGAGCATGTTCTTACTCAGCCCTGATGAGCAGTTTCTCTCCCTTCTCACTTCAGGGATGTTTCCTGATCTTACTTTAGCACCGGCCTTTGGTTTTGCTTGGATTAACAATAAATGGTCTAAATCACTTTTTGCACAACTAGGTTTTAGAAAAGATAAGCACTATATTTTTTGGCTAGCATATAATCTCCTGAAGTATTCAGTTAACCATTCTCTAGAATTGCCACTCTTCTAAATATCAAGCTAACATTCCACTATGACTACCCCAAATAAGAGCTAGACTGAGTGGCCTTGGATTTGTGTGGCATCTTCACCCCTACTTCAAACAATAGGTATCAAGTTATTCCCACATGGAAGTTTTAAAATGAAACAGTAAAACTTTGTTTCTACCAAGCTTACCACTCACTATCTGTAACACTGTAAGGAACCCTGACAGTGAAGAAGCATAGTATATATAAAGTTCTTGATGCAATAGCCTGTTCACCATTACACTGTCTTAAAAAGGTACTTCAGAAATGAGCAGGTAATGCAGACATGGCTGGAAAATCGGGGTGAAAACACTGTTTTCAAATGTAAGTAGTTCTTTACTGTCAAAACCAAGATGTTCACCCTTCTGCAATTATTGTAAACTTGTTTTGAGGTGACATTCAATTATTCCTGATTCCCAAAAGTGACATAAAGGCTACGGTAATAGCTTAGATACTGCAGCATTTATTGCAGTAGTCTTTCACAACACACAAAATAGGACTCCTGAGATGAACATTTGTATTAACTTTGACAACAGTGGCAGGAGGAACAAATGACTGCGAAGATAAATTAAGTTAGTCCTGAGAGACCAAGGAAATCTGGAGTTCCTCAAAAGGCAGAAGGAATCAGAATGTATGTGCAGCCTGCCAGGGGAGAGATGAATGCTTAGAGAAAAGGTAAGCGTGATATACTTTGTCTTCATTCAGAAAGTAAGTGCAATCTAAAGAGGTGTGAGAGGGTGACAATTTGACAGACCTATTCCCTAAGAAGGGTTGGTCGTAACCCACAGACAGACATGAAAGATTATGATGATTTTAAACAAAACTTGCACAGTCACAACAATGTGGCAGCAGGACCGGAGGCAGTCCTATGGCTGAATTCTTTTTCTGGGTACACACGATTATTACACAGGTATATAAAGGAACTTGGCTTTGCTTCTCTTTTCTCAAGACTAAATCTCACCGCGTTCTCATTGTGATAGGCAGTGCAGAGCTGAAAGAATTAATCTTGCAAATTGGTCTCATACAACTCCTGTCATTTAAACAGCACCCTCAAGATGCTCTGAGAGATTAACACATTAAATACTTGCAGTGCAGTTGCTATTTACATATCCAAAGCATGCATCTGCCAAGCATTCACTTGTGTCCTGGGTGCCACAAAGGAATAGATGAGGGAGCTATCATATCTCAATATACTTGAGTCTTACAGAATCAATTAATGTTCTGTGTGTCAGACATAGGTCTGTAACATGAGGCAGCATTCAGCTAAAATAATCTGATATCATTTACACACTGTCTAATAAACATTATTTTGCATCTTAACAGGGTTCAGGCTACATAGTATAGATGCTATCTTATTAGGCTGGCATAGTGGAATGGTGTTACGTATCAGGGATGGGATGAAAAGGCTATTTTTAGAGATGCTGATCTTATATTTTATAGGGCTTTTAATTTAAATAATCATGAAGTAGCGTATCTTTACCATTCTACACCACTGTATTGTATAGTGCCTCCTCAGAAACAGTTGGAACAATTCAGTATTAGCCCTTTTCTGAAAAAGAGTACAACAACTATGGCATCTCAGTGTAGAATTTAGCAGAGGTGGAAAAATAGCACGCTCAGAACATAGGGAAAACTCTGTGATGAATGATAACAGCGAGTATAAACAGAGAAAGAATAGGACTGGCAGTTTTGGCACAGCTTTGCTGCCAAGCAAGAGTGAGCGCTTCTGCCCAAACATCTCTATTACTAACTAAGCAATCATGCCTTTGGTCTCTGAAATAAGTGAGTGGTCTCCTTCCTACCAGGAAAAAGCTACTTTTTCTATTTCTTCCTCAGTCTGCTTCTCATTTGGCTAAGGCAAAAAAGCCAGAGCACAGCATAAATCCCCCTCACGGGTTTTAGTCACTCACAGCTACTTGAAACCTTTTATAAGTTTTGGAAATATTCAACAGTTTTCAACACAATGGTACATGACAGAGGATGACTGAAGTGTGCATTTGGGTGTTGAGAATAAATGTCAGTGGACATTCCTCCATCAAGGTTGCAGAGACACATACCTTAGCCTCATGCTATGAGGTGTCATTACTGTTACCAAAGAACTACAGGTAAGATCCAAAGTGGTCTGGACATCAGTATTCTCATTTCTGTGTTTAATGTGCCACAAAATCCAGGCCTTTCCAAATGGAGGGACTAAATCTACACTGGTCTATCTTCCTTCTCTGTCACAAGTGAATTACAGCTTTCACCCTTCAACCGGTTCCTTTATAAAGGAGGAAATTCCGCTGCTTTCTGTTCTCTCCATTATCCTACCCCATGGCTAACTTCAAATGGCTCCCAATGAATTTGGGTTCTATAACATGACGATTCACAGCAAGCTGCCTTCTACTAGGAGTTCCAGCTGGGAGCCCTGCTCTGCACAGCCTCATGCAGGTGAAAAGGGCAAGTTCACAAGAGAATCCCAGGGGAAGAAGGGCTGCAGTGAACAATAGCTTGGTTGCCACAGCATTGAGAAGCACTACTTAACATGAAACTGTCACACAGAAAACACAACCTGCTTTTACATTCACAAGTGCCAGTACCAGACCAGAGTCAGAGAATAACAGTATGCCCATAGTTGCTCCCAAAACATAACCATAGAGGCCAGAATGTTTATTACCTTTGTGAGGATCAAGCGTTGATACTTCAACTTCAGTGTACTCCACCTCAGCACTCTCAAGGTCAGGTCCTGCCCCAAAAATATCAAGAAGATGTTTCTTTGCAGGACTGCATACTTCATTTGAGCTGTGGGCCTGATCCTGCTGCTGCTGAAATTAATGGACAAGTCCTCATTGACTTTGATAGGTGCAGGATCAGGCCCTACTTATGGCAGATGTAAGTTACTCTGCTAAGAGTTGTAAGACCAACCCACTCCTAGGTCATTCCAATCCCAAAGGCAGTAGACCAACTCAAGCCAGATTTCTGAAACTGTGGGACATGCAAATTGTGCCTAAAACTCTTACTTTCAATTTAACACCTTCAGAAGCGGTGCAACATGAATGGAGCAGGGAATTATCTGAGATTTTCCCATAGTTCTGCTCCAGCTCCTCTCTTCTGTTTTCTCTTTAAGTATAAAATTAGCTTTACTCTCATCTGTTGATTTCATATAATTTTCAATATCTTAGTGTAACCTGAACCTAAAATAATCAAAAGTTGAGCTGGCAAAACATTTACTGTAGCCAGTCAAATTAATGAGTTACACAGCTGCAATTCCTATTGTCATTATGGTTATTTATATATGAGAAATTCTAGTTCTAGATTCACACCCAAGACATTAATAAACACAAGTGAGAAGAATAGGGGGTTTTAAGCAATCAGCTAAAAAACACCCAGGGGGAATTGTGTTTCTATCAGGTGCTCTGCAACATGTCCACCCATCTTTGTGAAGTGCACTGTAATGAGAGTTGCCCAGTCATGGCAAGTTGATATCACTGTACTGTGGCCACATCACAGGTCCGTGTGCCACAACTTAGATTTCCTCTCTGAAATCATTTTCTTGCAGCTGTGTTAAAACTGTTGATAACAGAACCTTGAGCCCTTCATCTGAAATATTCTGAACTGACTGCCTGGTAGAAGTGCCTGAGCAGACTTATAAACCAATCTTGTATAAGACATGCTCATAAAAAACTGTACAAAATGATACAAGATACAGAGGAATATCAGTAACTTTCTGCCAGGTAATCCCAAAACACTGGGTCCTATCCAAACAGCAACCATGTATGTCCAAAACTTCAAATAAGTGTTTAATTAAGCCAACCCACTAATAGTCTTACAGCAAAATATCTCACCTGAATAGTAGTCTCCATCATTATGCTGTCTCGTCAGTTTTTCACTTGCCGAGTTAGTAGCCAAGGCAGGACTGAAAAGCAAATGAAAGTTTATGGAATTATCCAACAGCAGTCAACAAAAACATGATGCTAAGCAAAGATCAGTCATTGTCTATGCTAACTACCACATAGTCTTAACTATTAAACCTAATTAAAATTTTGCCTTTCTCTTTAAGAGAAGCACAAGCAAATTTTAAGGCCAAAAATGTTCCCTCTTCCATTACTCTTAAGAGCTCTGCATTTATAATTCCATACCTAAATGCATTCAAATGCAAGCCTGATATTCTTCTATTTCTCTAAGCTGTTTGGGGATTTTTTTTTCACCTATTTTTAGAGTATTTCCTCATCCTGTTGTTGTTGTTAGCAGGTGGTACATGAAGCACAACCATCTATTGTTTGCAGGTGTGTGCCATAATAATCTATATTCATATGGCGGAAGGCCTCCAGCCCTTTAAACAGAAATACTTCACCATTACTATATAGTAAGTGGTGTCGCTTAACCAGCCAGCAACTAAGTACCACACAGGCTCACTCAGTTCTCCCACCTTCCCCAGGTGGGTGTGGGGAGGAGAATCAGGAAAGGGTAAAACCCATGGGTTGAGATAAGACCAGTTTAATAATTGAAATAAAATATAATAACAATAATAGTAATGAAAAAAGGAGAGAAAGGGAGGGAGAGAGGGATAAAGCCCAAGTAAAACAAGTGATGCTCCATACAATTGCTCACCACCCCCTGACTGATGCCCGGCCCATCCCCGAGCAGTGATCAGCACCTCCTGGCCACCCCCCCCAGTTTCTATACTGGGCATGATGCTCTATGTTATGGAATGTCCCTGTGGCTAGTTCAGCTCACTGTCCTGGCTCTGCTCCCCCCTTGGCTTCTTGTGCCCCTCCTCCCTGACAGACCACAAGCAACTGAAAAGTATTTGACTCAGAGTAAGCACCACAGAGCAACAATTAAACCAGCAGTGTGTTATCAACATGATTCTAGTACTAAATCCAAAACACATCACTGTACCAGCACTAGGAAGAAAATTAAGTCTATCCCAGCCAAAACCAGGGGGGTATGCACCATTTACATGCTCAGGTTCCACACTTTCCAGTATATCCCAGTTAACCACCATCACCTTTCTGGTCAGTTTCTATACTGCTCTGTATGGAATATCCCTGTGGCCCTGACTCTGCTCCCCCCCAGCCTTTTGTACCCCTCCTCACTGACAGATGACAAGCAACTGTAAAGTACTTGACTGAGAGTAAGCACTACTTAACACACTGATGGTTTAGTTGTTGCTATCAACATTATTCTCATACTAAATCCAAAACACAGCACTGTACCAGCTACTAGGAAGAAAATTAAGTCTATCCCAGCTGAAACCAGGACAGCAAGCCGTCTTACCCAGACATCTCCACGGATGGTCCTTTAGCTTGACAAGAGAAAAATAAAAGCATCTATTAATAGACTGTACAACTAAAATAATCTAAAAGTAAAAAGCAAAAGTATAGTGATTATCTACCTAAGTCAGAATCATTTCTCTTGACTATCACAGAATTAATTACACAGTGGCTTACATCCCATTTATTACCCAGTCCCTTAAATGTCTCTTGCACAGAGAACCTGAGATCCCAAACCTGAGACTTTAGCCTGGCCAATTTAAGCAGTCTGGGAGATCCAGAAACCCCAAATTTTCCCTAATATTTTGCAATGTACTGTGTATCACAGGATTAACAAGATTTACTTGGTTTTTGACAGAACAAGATCTGAAAGAACACCTTAATGATAAAAGACAAATCCCTATGTGAGAATGTATTGCAGTTGTAAGGAGAAAAAACCCAACAAAACAACAAGCAAACAAAACCCCAACCAAAAATGGACTCCACAACCCAATATTCTCAAATTTGTTTCCCGAGGATCAGAGAAGCACTGCAGTAACACCTGAGCTAGGACCCCAAATCAAATTGTCACAGCTCTATAAGGGATCTAAACCCAAAAATCCCTCAGGCCCCTTCTGTTTCTACATTGCACAGGACTGAATTCCAGACCTAGAACTGCATCAGAACAATGCAATACTGGCCTGTCTCCAATAGCCTTTGCTTTACTAGTGACTTCCCAGTACCATTAGTTAGATGCTCCCATTTTGCCCAATACACTTGGAAAGCTTCAGCACACTTGTAGCTGAACTCAGCCCACCCAGCACTTTGAAACAGATTCTAAGTTAAGTGAAAATTGTATTTAGACATCTCCAAAGCCTCACCCCACAGCCTTTGCTCCTGGAACAAATGCAAGTTTGGCTGTAATACATGTGTCACAAATAGAAGGGAACCATTCATTACCCTTTTTCTTCTTACACAAAAACCACCATAAAGCGAGAGTCACGGCTCCTGCGATGGGTATCAGGACAAACGCAACAATGACTCCTTTCTGCCAAGATGCTAAGATGACTGGAAATAAGAAAGACACGTTGAAGAGAGTATGTACAGTGACAGGTCACCATGGCCAACTTCTGCAGTTCCTGACCTTTCATTTTCCTACAAATTGGCCTTCTTACACACTGGGGAAGAACTTTACAGAGATTTGCATGCAAAATTCATTAGTCAGCCACCCCTTTGTGACTGAAACCTCAGTACAACGGGTTGCTTTCAGCTTGTATCTGTCTCCTTCAACTTTTGAGCTTCCTTTAAACTTTCCTACGCAAGTTAGGCAACCTCTGTTTATAAATAGATCTGTTTTAACTTCTGACAATGGTGGAACAAAAGTAACGGAGTTACACTTAGTAACATACCAGACAACATAACCTCAACCGTTATGATGACATAGCATGCAGCTTACCCTAAAAGTCAGCTTACCATTGATGGTTATTGGATGGCTTTTCACATCCACATTAGCTCGATTAGAAGCCACGCAGTAGTATGTCCCAGTGTCCTGCCTGCTCATCGTGCCTTTGCGCCACATGACTCTGTCAGCGTGTTCACTTTGCTCAAATACAAGAACATCACGATCAGCTTTTCTAAAAATCCTGAAGTGGATTGGCCAAGATCCTTCTTTCACAGAGCAGAGGAAAGCGGTCTCACTGCCTTCCTCCACTTCTCCATACGGAATACTGCCCAGGCTGGCATTCCTGATTGGCACTACAGAGGAAGGCACAAAGGAAACAAATATTAGCACTATTAGGAATAACCCTGATGATAAAATGCAGTATTGTAGAAATAGTTGCTTTAATGCTTGTAAGTGTTATGTGCTTTAACTGTCACATGAAACCTCACTATCATCTTCTTTTTAAAGCTTCAACTACCAACTTCCCTCATAGAGGAATGTTCCTTTTCTGCTTCACACATATTTGCAGATCAGAGACCTTGCTCACATATAGTAACTATAAGCTACTAATAGGCACAGTAATAAACTGACTTTCAGAGCTACTTTGCCACTGCAGCTTCTGGCGTCAAACACATGCTCAGTGCCTCTGAAAAGAGCAGCTATTAACAGAGGCATTTAGGAATTTACATCAGTTATTTCAGTGACTGAAATCAGACTGTCTCTAATATCATTAGGCATATATTTAATCCAGTCCTATGAAAATCAAACATGAGGAAACATCTGCTCTGAAATTCTGAATCATTCATTTTACTAAAACAGCTTCTGTAAGATTTCAAGTCAGAGCTGGTTTTAGCATTAACATAACCTCAGTTGTAGTTAACTTGATTCAGACCACTATCAAGGTTTTTACTCCAGCAACAAACGGTTGGAGATACCAAACTCCAACTATTTTTTATTCAAGTGAGCAAAAATTTGTAAACATTTCACATCCATTATGTTTAGTCCATCATTTTCTGCTACAATTTCAAAACTCAAAAAATGGCATTAGACAGAATAAGAATTAAACAGATTTACCTACTACTGTGACGTTTAGAATATTGCTGGTTTTCACACCACTGGAGTGATTATTTCTAGCATCACATTTGTATCCCTTTTTGTCATTTTGTCCAACATTTTCATCCAAGAACATAGCATATGTATCGTTAATGACTGTTTCCTTAATTACGTTTCCTTTGTAGAATTTGAATGTTATTGGTGGTGTTCCCCTGGCTGAACGACAGATTAACTGCAGAGGCTTCCCTAACACCACCTCTGGTAAACCACTGACAACAGAAAGAGTTGGCTTGGAGACTGGAGCTAAAAGGGGAATAACAGAAAAAAAGGTTGCAAATTACACTGCATAAAGCTGAAAGATACACAACATTATTTTATAGAAAACATATAAATACACAATATTTAGCTAGTCTGCGCACACAGTTTATATTGGGAAGCTCTTCTTCATTGCTAGAATGGAAGCACGGGGTAACTTGAACAAAACAAGAATATAGATAATAGAATATATGTAACAGAATAAAATAGCATACGAGGAGAACATAAAGGAAGACAAGAGGATCAGTGACACAGCTATGGATCATCCAAACTCCAGAACTAGCTCTGACCCAAGGAGTAAGTCTGTAGAGCAAAAATACATGTAAGTATCAGTACATGTATTACCTGAGATAGATCCTGCAGCACCTAATCAGGGACCTCTGCTTCTGCAGCACAGCAAATCACAACTGAATGGGGAAATTAAACCCCCTTTAGACTTGAGAACTAACTGTGCTTGTTCCATGAGAGGGAAGGAAACTAGGGTGTTTGTAATTAAGTGTGCTGGTGAGGGGGTTGTATTGATAGCAAAAACCTTGGCTTTTCTGGAGTAGAACTCTCCAGATGACCTCTGGCTCTCACGGCTTTCTACCTGGAGGGTCATGGGGAGGGATTCAAGGCAGACACTGACAGAGTTTCAGATCAAACTGATGAGTGAAAGGTTTGAAGAACATTCCCAGCTCCTGCAAATGGTAATGAATGCCAGCTTATTTGGCACCTAGCATAATCAAGGGAAGAGAAAGAAGACCTGGAAAAGTCTGACTTGATTAGATCATGATAAGCCAAATCCTTTACAGTTACAGATGACAAGCACATCTCACAGAAGTTAATACTTCCAGAACAAATAGACACCCTGCTAGTTCATGGATTACAGACTGATTCTGTCAATTGATGTGCTTATAAATAAGCTTATAGTTTTGGTTTCCCCCCATACCATTGGGTTCTAAACCTCTGTATCAACTCACCATAAACATTTATCCTTACAGGTTTGCTCTCCTTGACTATTCCTTTTACTTCAGCTTTACAGATGTAGGATCCAGTATCATTCACACTAACTCTCATTGTTAAGTTTCTAGAAGTTTCCAACAAGACATCTCCATTTGAATTCCTCCGCAGCATGGAGAAGTTGGCTTTCTGAAAGCCACTAATGCTGCAGCTCAGAGTTAACTCTTTGTTTTCATCCAGCTTATTCATAGAAGCAGCCAGTGTTGGCTTGGGGAATAACTCTGTAAGATAGAAAAAATAATTTATTCTTTCAAATTGAGCCTAAAAGAATATGACTACCTATGTCAAAGTATACAGAATCAAGGACATAGTGAAAGTTTAGAATTAGGGGAAAAATAATCATGTTATTTTAATTTAATAATATTTTCAGGAAAACATAACTTAGCAATCACTTGAAACCACTTTTTGTATGTGTTATTTGAGAATATTATTTCAGTTTTTGAGTTCTACTGAATTTAAACTTAAATGTTAATCCACTGAGTGAATAGAGGTGTTACCTGACACAACAACATTCACTTTGGTGGACTTAGATGCTCTCCCTTGCTCCACTTTACACAGGTATTCACCACTGTCCTCTAGAGTAGCTACTGCAGAGTACTTCAAAACTTTCTCATCTCGTACACTGTTCAGTATTGTTTTGTTTTTCTGGAGTATGATTTCGATGTCACGCATTCGGGCTACCACAGTTGAGCATTCAAGCTGTATTCTGTCTCCTTCTGTAATATTACGTGAGGGCCTGACACTCAGAGTAGGCTTTATAAATGGTTCTGCAAGAGAATACATAGAAACTCATAACCCAACTTCTTAATTATAGCAAGCAAAGACTTGTAAAAAGAAAAGCTAAGCAACTTACCCCTGACTGTAACAAGTGTTTTGTTGCTGTGTTCTGAGCTGTCAAATTCCCGTTGTACATGTCTCTTACCAAAGCAGTCAAATTGTAAAATATTATCTCCTTCTTCAACAGAAAATTCCACTTCAGAATAATTTTTGTATGCTTCAAAGACATATTTTTCTTTAGGTGTTGAATTCATCTTTATCTTTCGGAAATAGAAGTATAAAGGAGGAACTTCTTCTGGCAGCTCACAACGTAATTTCACAACTTCACCCTCTAAAACTTCTTTTTTCTCAGCAGTGAGGATTGGCTTGGTCATTCCTTAGAACAGAAAAGAAGAAAAACAAAACAGAACATTGCATAATCATGAAATAAACACTACGTCTGATGACTCTGGTAGTGATCTATGCTAATGAAGACGTGCAAATAATTTGTAAGAACTGAGCTTTTGAAGACAGTTCCTTTGATGTGTGGGTATATGCCAAGGCACCTTCAGAAGAACAAAATGTCTCTTCAAGAGGGCAATACAATCTCCATACAATGCATGAAAGTATGAAAGTTGGTGTTTTGAAGGTAAGACCACTTCCTCAGTGTTTCCTATTGCTATTAAGAAATGAGCAAGCAAAGAAACTAAATGCCATCCGAGCTCCTGTACCTAAAAGTACAGGCCTCTGAAAAAAAAGGTTACAAGCCCTCCACAACCCTATAACTAATGCTGAGCGAGTTCTTTCTGTGTTGCTTTTCCATGGGGAAAAATGTCATTTGCAGTCAAGAACACATGGCTGGAAATAGTATAGATGGAGCTGGTCCCTGTTTTTATAAGAGATGAAAGGACAAGACTGATATAACATTACTACATTAGTCCAGAGTTGATAATAGCTTTGGCAATGGCTGTCACAAGGTGAGAATCTCAATGCATCTTAATACATTTCCAGCTTTTCCAGCAAACTACCCAGCCCTCCATCATGTTCATGATCTGTGGGCACAAGCTTTCACACATAACACTTTCTCTAGTTTAGTAACAGGTTCAGGGCAGAGAGCACAGGTTGCGTTCCTGACTATCACTGCTCTGCCATGTAGCCTTGGGATCGTTATTTCATTTCTGTGCCTTACCATGAGGATTTAGTACTAAAGTCTTGTAAAGTACTATGAAGTCTATGGATAAAAACCACTTTGCAAGATATCCTATTTAGCACTATTATTACTTTCCAGGTTCTCTTTTTGTATCTTAAGACAACTGCCATGTTTGAAGGAATACTCACCTTTTACCCAGACATGTAAGGAGTTACTTGATTTTGTCTTCCCGCCTGCTTCCACAGTACATTCATACTCTCCTGTATCTGAAGATCTAGCCATAGGTACTTCATATTGAGCATCATCTTTGTCTGATACAGTCATGAACACAAGCTTGCCATCCTTAAAAATTGTAAAGTTATGCTTCAGCTGGAAATCAGCACTTTTGCTAATATCAGCATGGCAGATAATTGACATGGGAGCTCCATTCTTGACTTTGACAGACGGCTGAACATCGATTTCAACTGTGTTGAAAGTAAAAACTTGATGGAAAATTAAAAAAAAGAAATAAGATTTATCTTTATTTTCAATTAATCCAACATAATACTGCTATCTCAAACTGATGCATTTTAATAACGAACTGCTTAGAGCTGTATTAAACCACAAGCCAATTCATCCCCAGTTAGCATTATCTCAGTATTTTTCCCTTTAAAATAAGGTTAGGGGTATGTCATGCAGCAAATTTCACTTTAAATGTAGCTCACAAGCTTGGGATCATCTTAAATCTCTAGTTTAGGATAACTACAGCACAACAGAAGATACTTGGGCTCAAGTGCTGCAAGCAAACATGTACGTGCCTAACTTGATGCTGTTGGAAGTCCAGCAATCATACTCTGAAGAGTCCTTAGCAATACCCTGATTAATTCAAACCCAGAGTCATAGCCAGAAGCAATGCTTTCAATTAATTCAGAATTTAGATGTGTTAGTCCCTATAAAACAAAAATATACCGAATACAGCATTCCTATTCAAAAAATAATAACATAGATAAGCACCTTATGAAATAATGTTTAGAATAGCATTAATATATATACATAGTGCTTCTGTGTTTAGACCACATCAATAATAATGAATTTGTAGCTTCAGTTTTTATAATTATTAGAATCCTGCTATAATTAATATTTTTATTCACACAACAAGAAATAGAGAAAGAGAACCCACAGCTTTTGGGTATGCCCATTTCAGTCAGGATTTGTACTGGAAATTTGCTTCTAAAACAGGAAAACTCCCGCATCTAAAGGAGTCCCTTGCCATGTAACAGCTATTTATAAACTGTCCTTGCTAGAGAGAGTTTTGGGCATAAAACCAATGCAAAAATAGTACATTTTTTTTGCATGTGAATAGACTACATGACAACAAGAACCAGCTTTTCTCTCTAGTGATGGAAAAAGGAAGTATGCAGAATGTACATGCTGGAAGTCAGCAAGATGATAAAGCACAAAGTAAAGGCATTAGTTTCAGAACACAAGTTCTGTACTCTGCTCACACACAGCCTTTTCTTTTGCAAGAAAAAGGAGCAAGAGAGAATTCTCTTAACTTACAGTCTGTAATTTTATCCTACCTCCTTGCCTGCGGGCATGAGAGGGGTTTTTTCAAAGACCAAACCAAAATGCTAGTAACTAAATATCCTCTCCCATCTCTCCTCAGAGTAAAGCAAATCACTCCAGGAAAAATATCACAAAGTACATTTTTAAAGTATGAGCAGCACATCTCTCATTTAAACACTACAGCAAGAACATCCCCAATAACACCTTGTTCAGCTATTCACATGGCCAAGTTTTGTACTGAGCTACAGTACAGCAAATTCAGATCAACTCTGCTATGGATACACACCAACCACTGAACCATTAGTTAAATTACTTATTTACATGTTGTAGGAGGAAAACTCATGACCTACCTCTGTCCTGAGTGTAAAGTTCTGAACCTGGGGAAAAAAAAAAGGAGAGACGTGGTATTTTCAATGCTTACAGATTCAGACAGTAATGGGAAACAGTAAAAAGCCCCAAGAAACCCCCAACAAACCACAAACACATGTACCCACCCAGATATTTAGTTATCAAACTTACACTGCAAGAAAATCACCAGAAGAGCAAGATACATCTCGTTCCTGAAGAACACACACGCTTAATTCCAAAATAAAACAATATTCATCATCAGAGGTGATGCCTTCAGGTACCAAAAACAGGTTATGGGTTTTTCTGTGGCTGTTTTATGGAAACTGATAAAATTTTGCCATTAAAATGCATAAATATTCCCAGATCTTCAAAAACTGGCTGGATCAAGTAATCGTTCCCATTACTGGAAACTGGAAATGGCAAACAATGAGAATCTATCTGCTGCTCACAGGCAGATTACTGTTCAGGAAGTGACTGGACTTTTCCTGAGGGCGCCACCAAATGCATTTGCTTTGTTTAATTTCTTAAGGTGTATTAAAAAAACAAGAAGTTCCAATGACATCTATCCTGCAGTTCCTGTCAATATGGGGGCTTTTAAATCACGATTAACCATTTACAAAGACAAATTACCTTTGCTATTTCACCTCAGCGGATCCTTGAGTAAATATTTCCCTTCTTCCTGACACAGAGAACTCTTTTAGAGCACAGATGTACAGAATTACTCATTTTTCCTCTTTACCTCTGTTTCCAGGTCTCTCATTTTTGCTATGGCAAAGAACAGCTTTACCATAGGGTGCACAATTAATTCAAATTATATCAGGAACCACAGCTACTGTTGTATTAGACTAGAATATTGACAGGCAGACTTTCATGCAACCAGTATATATCAAAAACATGGAACTGCACAAGTTTTTCTTTGATGTAGTTAGTTAGAACAGTGTAAAACAAGAAAAGAACCGGTTGGAGGTTTATTCTTCAGCAGAAATCTGCAGCAGCAGTGGCACAACCTGAAACAGAGAATACTCTGGAGCAAGAATTAAATCTGCTAGCAGGCATTCCTGAGAGATCTGACCTTTTCTGTCTTAATTCTTTTGCAATGGGGCAATAAGAGAGCCAGCCTGAAATCAGGGATGATTAAATCCACATCCAGAACACCGAAAGCAGAAATTGAGCAAATGTGATCAGAGGAGGAAGAAAAGTTGCAAAACATTCTACTTTAGCATTCAGCCCTCAGTTTCCACTGAGGTTTATCAGTCCACTGTCAAATCAGACTTAAAGTCATTCCACTTAAGACCTAATACTGACTTGGTTTATACTCTTGATAGAGTGATTTGAAATCATGCCCCTTCAAAAAGTGCTTCTCAAGTTGTGTGTCCAGAACTCCCTAAATAGTGACTTAGTTGTTCTTGAAAATTGAGTGCTCAGCACTTAATCACTTAGTTTCTTTCCTTTGTAGACACACTCAGTGCTTTCCTTTACTTGCAGCAGCATTTTCCAAGCTTGTTAAAACACTGCTGAAAACAATACTAAATACATTCACAGAAGCCTATAAACGAGACTTACAGTTCTCATAAGCTTCTGTGTTTCTCCCTTTTTTTTTCTTCGGAGGTCAATGAAAAATGTATTTTTTCCCCCAAAAACAATAGTTTAAAGCTGCATGTGTATCTTAACACTTGTATTACACACAAGCAGGGTGTTTTGCAAAAGGAAACAGAAGGGAAACACTCATCTGTTTAACAATGTATAGGCAATATGAACAAGCATCTACATAGCTGTTTCGCAGGGAGGAAGCACAATAGTCAGAGTAACTAATGACCAAGAAGTAAGCTGTTTGACTAGCAGTAGTATTTGTTCTGCTTAATCCAGTTTGTTTGAAATACACCACCAACAAAAGACTGGTGGCCTGGCTGGTTGCCAGCAATGGTCTCCAGAGCCAGGTAAAGGAAAAGAGAAGGAGGACATATGGCAGGTGGAGAACAAAGGTAGACTAACTTTTGCTATTGATAACAAAAAATAGGAAGGAAGGCGATTTCCCCCTTCCCCTCTCCCCCATAAAAGAATTAAGCAGGACATACAAAGCTCAGCAAAGCCACACCAGTCTTTCCCACAGGGGACAAAGGTTCTGCTCTGAGCCACTGCGAGGGAAGGGGAAAGTGAGTGTGGGTCAGTATCCTTCAGAGCGAGCCAATACGGAACCAGGCTAGTTTCAGACTGTGGTGGAAAGGCCAGCTTTTAGGATGAACTAGGTCAGGAGTAAGGTTTAATGGTGCCAAAAACCTGAGGCTGTTGTGAGACGTCACTCCAAGGAAAGTACGTGCCATAAGATGTCACAGGCCAATTACACTGGCATGTTCTTGGTAAGCCCTCAGCATTGCCCTGGAGAAGAAAATCTAGCTGGTATCAACCAAATTCCAAGAAATAAATTCAACTGCAGGAATTTTTCTGAAATATGCAAGACCAAAGTTATTCTGATACACAGTGTATAAAGAAATCCCTTCTATTTGTGGGAAAAGTAGGATTGACCTCAAAAATGCAACACACTTTCTGAAGCAGACAGAATAGTCATTATAATGTGACACAATGCCCTTGGAGACCTATGGGAATAATTACATTTAATCTACTGCCCCTTGAATCAGACCCTTAAACATTAAAGCTGTGGTCATCTGGGAATTCACAATGCTGTTCCTACCAGCTGTGTCCCTAGCTACTTGCTCACATATGACATTTCCTAAAACCCACCGGCTCTGTCATCTGAGCAGAGCTTTGCCTACAGCCAAAGGCCTATTCTTGGAATTGAGGGCAAAATGCTGAATAAGATTTTCAGCTTTTTCCCTCTGCAAATACAGTGTTTCCAGCCAGTCCCTTATGGCAGGGGAGGAAGCTGGGAGTTCACAGCATGCTTGAGCTGTTTGTTTTCATTTGCTCTCCAGCTGGCTGGCAGGACAGTGTAGAGCGCAGCACAGAGGCAGTCTCTAGGACTGTCATCTTACTTCCTCACAGAGCACACGCTGATTCTAGCAAATCTAAACTTTGTCTCCTGATCTCAAATGCCCATTCCTGATGGGAGTTTCACTTTCTTCAGAAAAGAAGTCTCTGCATGTGTTGCCTTCAAATTCCACCGTGCTGATCTACTGACAAAACATTTAACGTGATGTTCTGGGGTCATCAAATCTTGATCCTGAGAATAGAGACTCACCATAACTTCTTGTATAAGTTCATTGATTTTAAAACCAGTTAATGGCTATAAAGGTGGATCTACAAATGCTTGGGATTTTCTTCGTTTCATTTTAAAAGTGATAAAAATTCAGAGCTCTGTGTTTACCTACACTGATCTCAACATGAGCTTCCCAGTAACTAAAGCAAGGATAGAAAAGCAGCTCTGATTTCTAATTCCCCAATCCCAAAAATATTTTGCTTAATTATCACTTCCCGTTTCAGTCTACTCATAGATAATGGAACTGCAGTAAGCACTGCTGCTTTCACAAGTCTAGCCAAATCCCTGGTAAACTAGGAATGAACTGACTTTTTACTACATATGTTTTCAGGCTATATTGTCTTCTCTGGAACGTGGGACATCTGTATCATTTGCCTGTATTTTAGAAGTGTGTCTTTATGCCTCCCCAGAGAAGAATGAACATGAATTTTATCCCTGGATTTGAATATTTATAAAGAACATCAAAGAAATGAACATTGAGGGGGGTTTAGAAGTCTATAAATTCCACAGTTAACAGAAGCACTACACTGCAGAAAGTTTGTTCATATCGGAATAAACTGCATTTCACAATGGCACCATCTACTGGGAGATGAGCACTGGAGCAAAGCACATGTGGTTCCCGCACTTCTCTTTCGTGTGATTCCTGATCCCCAACACCTCCTCTAATTGGCAATATAAATAAGATCTGGAAAAGTAACTGAAAAAAACAAGAAGCTGATAATGAAAGATCACCAAGGCTTTCACACAGACATTCTTCTTTTGAATACAGCAAGAGCTGATTGTTGCTGTTTGGCTTTACGCTTCCTTACCAAACACCAGGAATCTGAAGTCTTGGCTTGTATTTTATGTAGCACACATACCCGTGTGTGTTAATTCAGACAAAAAGTAATAAACTCCTTCTTTCAGAGGTGTGAAATCTATTTGTTGGTTTACACTAGGATCATGGTTTCTGATAGCACCTCTCAAGCTTTCTCTACTTCAATAGTGGGCATTAAGTGACTGATTCTACACACTGAGGGCATTTTTAGCTGCTTTCATTTCCTGGGTTAACAAGGTCCTCAAGTTAGAAACAAACATCACAGACTGTCACTATCACACAGCGATTATCTAGCAATACATCAGAATTTGCACTCATTTTGCTTAGCATCCACCATTTCTGCATGCAGCAGAAAAACAGCCTCAAGCTCTGCAACAATATTCGTCGCAGAGTATGGCCTGTGCCAGAGAAAAGGTCAGAACCTTCTGGCTGGAGAGGGAATCAATTCCTGAAATGTTTTTCCTTCTCTGTACATTCCCATTGTTTCTGTACTGCTTGATGATTCTCCAAGCACTATCCCACACCAGTTTCATAAGTGAAATTCAGTTGGTAGTAACTCAACAAGCTGATCCAAATTGACAGAAAATCTTTCAGCAGACTTTACACAAACCAAGAGGAATTTATCTGCTTCCTGATCTGCAGCTGGTGTCCACACATGGACATCACTGCTGTAACTTCTGGGTAGGATGCACAAAGGGGCAGATACTTCTCAGAGTACACAAACAGCAGTTTGAAAAGGGCTAAAAACCAGGCATAATCCTGACAGGTGTATTTTTAAACACTTTCCATCCAGTATCTTAAATACTCAAAATTGAAACCATAAATATTAATTTTTATCAGAGGTTAAAAAGCAGAAAAAGTGAAAATTACATCAATTTTTAATGAAGGCTGATTAAGAGAGTACTCTGTATTTTTCAACCTATGATATTCTTACAGCAATTCTTGAACACATTTGTCTGGAGCACTTTTCAGACAGTGACGTCAGAATTCGTCCCAAGAGAAATGCATCAGTAACCCCAGTCTTTGGGGTCTCACCAAAATTTTTTCTTTCTTTTTCCTTTACTTTTGGGGAGAGGGCAAGAGGAGTCAAAGGGAATACAGAACATTTAAAACATTCCATCCTTGGGGTTTAGGAGCTGCTAGGTTACTCAAATTGGGTACCTAAAATCTCCTTTCACCTGCTGACATGCCCTGGCAATTTGCAGTTCATTGAAAAGCATTCATTACATTCAAATTCTCATTCAGGATCTGAGGATCATTACCAGAAATGTAAAGATATCTTAAATGTGCCTATAGAAGAGATCCTTTCCTCCTGTACTGTTACTTATCCTCCAGAAAAAACAATCTTCTCACAAACACCAAGTAGATAAAATAAAGAGCAGACTTGCCACCACAGCCATTTTGAGTAGGAGTGTTAAAATCTGGTGTTCAGTGATGATCTAGCTATATCAGCAAAAGCTTTTTGCAGACAAAACACAAGTGCTTAATTTAATTCATCACCAGACATAACTGTCAGTATATGGTGATTTCTAGCAAACCTTCTGCAGACACTTACTATAGCAGATGGTCTTCCAGAAAGAAGGACCTCTGGGATGAGAAACAGGGACTGGGAATAACTTTTGTAATCCTGCTGAACCATGCAGATATCCCTGGAAGCCTCTGGCAGGGCAGATACAGTGTGAAGTCTTCACAGCCTTCCTACAGAATGCTATCCCACACTATTTTCATTCTCAAGTCAAAGAATGAACCTTGTGAACAAAAGCTCAGTTTGGTTTTTATTGTCTTCACCTGCTTGCTTGAGGCAGAATATCATCACAGCAGCAAGAGATACACATCTCCCTTTCAGGCTTTTTAACTTACTTGTTTGGCTGGAGGCCTTCTGTTCATTGCTCCTTGTTAAATTTATTCAGTTCTTTTTCCATGTACAACCACATTAAGTCTGGGCAGCACATTTGTAAATCTAATCAAAAGAGAACTCCAGGCTTGCACAGTATCTTACTGATGCTACAAAACTCTAGGTATATATGCTGAACAAATCAACATCACGCTAGTCCAAAGTCAATAGCCAACTTTGCCAGCAAAAACAATCATCACGGAAGTAAACTTCGTTTACTACTATTCAGGACACTCTTGAAGAGACTAATGAACTACTCAGCATTCAAAGTTAAAGTCAGTATTCAAAACATCACAGAAAGGTAGTGCCAAGGGCTAGTGCTGCTTTTTTTCCCTGTTTCACATTGACAATATGGCCAACTGGATGCCATATGGACAATATGGATGCTGATCTACTTGCTGAAGGGCAAAACAAGACAGTAACATTTTTTTCTCAGAGCAATACAACAGGATTTAATGAAGCTCATTCTCATCATTTAGGAATTACTTCCAGCACACGTAGAAATATACTGCCCTAAAGCCTATTACAAAGCTGCCATAAGCATGCTGTCCACCTTCGGATCTGTTGAATACTCATCACAATGACATCCACATAAACCAGCAGAAAGTGGTATTCCAAGAGTAGTGCTTGAGAATAATAATGCACCATTGGCACACACAGCTCCCATGAGTAGAGAGTCCATCGGATTATGGTTTGACCAAATTCTTGCACATCATAGAATCATAGAATAGTTAGGGTTGGAAAGGACCTTAAGTTCCAACCCCCTGCCACGGGCAGGGACACCTCGCTCTAAATCATCTCACCCAAGGCTTCGTCCAACCTGGCCTTGAACACTGCCAGTGATGGAGCATTCACAACCTCCCTGGGCAACCCATTCCAGTGCCTCAGCACCCTAACAGGAAAGAATTTCCTCCTTATATCCAATCTAAACTTCCCCTAAGTTTTAACCCATTACCCCTTGTCCTATCACTACAGTCCCTAATGAAGAGTCCCTCCCCAGTATCCCCTTCAGATACTGGAAGGCTGCTATGAGGTCTCCAAGCAGTCTTCTCTTCTCCAGGCTGAACAGCCCCAACTTTCTCAGCCTATCTTGATATGGGAGGTGCTCCAGTCCCTGATTATCCTCGTGGCCCTCCTCTGGACTTGTTCCAACAGTTCCATGTCCTTTTTATGTTGAGGACACCAGAACTGCATACAATGCTCCAGGTGAGGTCTCACAAGAGCAGAGTAGAGGGGCAGGATCACCTCCAGGACTACCTTGCCATGTAGGATCAAGCAGTCAATTTTTTCCAGAAGCTTCTTTATATCAACCTAACTTAATCATTTAAATGATGAGCGCCATCTAAGGGACAATCTAACCACCACCTTATTACTCCCCTCGTGGTGATGTAGCAATTGCAGCCTGGCTTTTATACAAACTTCATCACTCAGCTACCAAATGCTATCATAATAGTTAAAGAAAATCCTTCCACGTGGTAAGTGTCGCTATTAATGCTCTGCAAAGCAATTGTAGAGTGGGAAAGTAAGCAGATACGTGAGCAGATGGAAGTATGGGACAGCTGAAAGAAACACTGCTCTTCTCGGTAATCTACATGTAGAATTGAGATGGATGAAACAGGTCAAAGAAAACATGTTCCCTATTGCAGACACTAAAATCAGATTTCAGTGAAAGCAAAACAAGCAAAGCAGAACCCAAACCCCTGAGGGCACAGATGCACTGAACTACAGGACCTCCACCCAGGGGAAGAGACAGAGCAGCGTTGCTTAGGAGAGTCCAAAACAAGACAGCCAAGAGCCAAGAAAGGCACAAACAGTTCTGGAAGAGCTCTTCTCACTTCCCAAATAGGAACCAGTGCTTTGAACCAGCACTTTTGTTCCCTAGATACCCCTTAGGCCACACACCCTGAGGGAAGCAAGCAAGCTCTTCTGCACACAGGCCATTTAAAGCTGCTGTAAAGGAGGGCTCTTGGTGACAACTGACCTCTTCTTTTTTACAGGGCACATACAAATGCACAGCTCACAGCAACAATTCACCAATCCCCACACGCAACACGAACCAGCTCATTGGCAACAGAAAAGTGCTCGCTTGTGGTGAGCGACATCGACCTGTCCCTCAGTGTCTCCACAGGGCGGGAGTGACAGACTGCAAGCGGTCCAATGGCCCCACGCACTCTCCACAGCCGGTTACCCACAGCCCTGCCGCCTTCATCGGCCTAGGAGCGGGCTCCGTGTGCCGGGCAAGCTGCCTGGGCCTGCTCCTGCTCCTGTTCCTGCCCGCCCGCACAACCGGAGCGCTGCTGAGGCACCGGAGCCACCGGCGGGCGGCTGCGAGCACGCTTCCCACCTCTGCCCTCAGCATCCTCCCGCTGGGCTGACAGGAGTGCGGCTCGGCCCCGCCGCCATCATCGGCCTGCGAGGGAGGGCCGGGTGTGTGCGTTTGTTTGTTTCCCACCACAGGAAGTGGCGCAAACGCTCCCGGTTCTGCTCCTCATGTGCGCTCCTACACGTGCTTCCTGCCAGCTGCACTGCAGCCCTGTCCCGCCCCTGCGGTTCGTTAGCGGTGTTTCGACATCGGACACGGTTGCGAGGGGAGGCTGGAGGCTGGCTTACATTGAGCAAGAATAAACTGGGGGGGGGGAAGAAAGGAGGAAAGTTGTGCATGGAATTCTGTGAGGAAACAGCCCTGGTGCGACAGGACATGCTTTGGGAGGGATTTTGTGACACAGCAGCACAGACCACGTACAGCCTTGTCACGTTCATAAACTGCGAAGAAGTAAGATCAAGATCACAACACTTTCAAGCTATTCTCTGTATAGGGAGTTACTGCCTCAAGCAGAGCAGGCCCTGGAGTTCTTCAAAAGACACTGTCCATGTATAGCTAAAGATTACATCTACTTTGCCCAGAGGATGACAAGTAAAGAACATCTACTTGCTGTCATTATGTGTTACTGATTAGATCATCAACTTAGTCATCAAATGTGTTCCTGCAGGGGTGCTGAACTCAAGTTCATGATGAAATTTGTACCTTCAAGTACAAGGTCTTCCTCACAGCTTCAGTATTTGAAGTTTGGCCTTAATGTCCTTAATGAGCTGCCTAGCTCTAAATAGTTATTAGTGTCTGAAAAAGTCTCTAGATTTCATACTCTCTTTTTGGACATTTTTTCTTAATTATATTACTGCTAAAATAAACGCAGTACCCCAAACCCCCTCGGTCTCAGCCATATGATCACTTGTATTATCTCCAGCAAACCTGGCTAGCTGATAGGAATCAGTGATCTCACTCCCTTATAGAACAACGCTAGAAAAACGATACAGTTTTGTATAGTGCATAGCTGCATGGTTCTGTCACACATCTCTCCCTATGGAAAACTGCTCCTTATGCCAGCTACACCACCACTATGTAACATTTAGTTCTATCCTAAACTGCTGTTTCTCCCTCCACAGCTTTTTCTTCTACCGCTGCTCTGTCTCCCATCAGATAAATGGAAGTGGAATATGACAAGTGTTTACACAATCAGCACAAATCAGACCATTTCCGTATTGAGGACTTCCTCAACCCCTAGAGTCACTCGGCAAAGACCTCACTCCTGTAACTCCACCAGCCAGCTTGCTCAGGATCAAGAAAATGCTTTTTCTCATGATTCTGCTGTTTGCCTACCGTAAGCCAAGGACATACTTCTTACATATTACAAATCCTTCTGAACAAGAACAAGTGTTTCTTGACTGAAAGCTTTTTTCCCTTCTCTTAGTTCAAATGTCTCAGCAGATTCAGAAAACTATGGTAAACAGCAAAGGTAGGTTTTCTTTGGGGGGGGATTGGGATATGGGCTGAAATTAACTTAAAAAATACAGGGAGCAGGGGATTTTAAAATGTCCAAAACCTTCATATAAAATTAAAACATATTTTTCCTCTCTAGAAATGTCATAATTTATCTTATTCATGACTAGTTTATTACTGTTTTGTAATGAAAACACAAGTTTTCATTCAAATTTACTTGTATAATATCATAAAAGCAAAATAATTTGACAGACTGTCAAGGCTCCTGCTGCTACTATCCAAAAGTTCAATCTACTTACACAACGTAATTTCTGCCTGATACAGCCACATATAAAATACTGCTTTTACTTGTGGGTTCACATGCTACCTCTCAACTATCCCATAGGGTTACCTTCTCCTACAATTAACATCCCATAAAATTTATATTTATCTTTTATACTTGTATTATTTGAATTCCTTCTGTGGTTCAAAAGTATTTTTGTTGTTTCATCGGGATACATCTCTTGGCTTTGTATGTATATGCGCTCTCTTGCATGAAGACATGCACTTGTCATTATTTCTATGAGTCATCAGGTGTTTGAAGCTCTAGACTGATTTTGAAGCACACAAAGCTGTGTTGCCTGCGACCAGAAGATGAGAAAGACCCTATAACCCCCTATTTCAACAGAAATGAGTATAGAGTGGTCTTCAGCATATTTTGGGAAAAATCTGGGTTTCTTGGATGAATGGTGCAGTGAACTCACTCAGGAGTTTCTTCTTTCCAGAGATGCTGTCCAATCCCAGGCTCAAACCTGTTCAGGGGACTTTGAATGTAGTGATGAACCAGAACGTGACCCTCTCCTGCAACTCAGATTCTGGATCTCCACCTGTCAGATATACATTGTTTAAACATAATCAGAAGGTATCCACCTTAAATAGGCCAGACCTGACCCCCAGTTTGTTTAACTTGACTATCAACTCTGCCAGTGATCTGGGTGAATACAAATGCAAAGCTGAGAACAACAACACCAGTGGCGGAAAATACAGCAACAGTCTCAGCTTCACCCTTCTAGGTATGTCTTGCTGTATTCCTTCTCAGCACTTTCATTTTAGGGGCACAGAGGCATGGATCTGCAGCAGCAGGAGTCAGGATTTTGCTTGCAACAGGTACTGTTTTAGACTGCAACATGTGCCTGCCTTGACTGTAGAGCTGAACTCTACTGTAGATCGCTGTTACTGTCTTAGGAGTTGGCAGTGCTATTCTCATCTGGCTCACCAAGACCCCCATCCTTCAAACTCATCTCATTTGCCAATGTTGCTGCTTAACTCCAAGCCTTGCTTTGGAGCTTGTCCTGTACTCAATGATGCAGTCTTTTCAGTTTTCTTTTTACAGAGCCCATTTCCAAACCAGTGCTGAGTTCACCCACCTCTCAAGCAAAGAAAGGCCAGAATGTGACCCTGTCTTGTCTCTCGGAGAATGGCTCTCTTCCTATCACGTACATATTCTTCAAAGGAATACAAAGCATCTCTTCCCAGGTGATGATGCAGAAGGAAGCAGCTGAGATTGTTCTATTCATCAATTCCTCTAGTGACTTTGGAACCTATAAATGCAGAGCTGAAAATGGTTTTCGCAGAAATGCAAAATACAGCAACGCTTTCAACTTCACGTTAGCAGGTAAGCCCGTGTGAAACTATTTGCCACTGTCGGTAAACAGGGACCACGCAAAACTCAATGTTATAACACTGCAAGTTTATAGCCAGAAATTTTGTTCCTGCAATTTAATGTTCAAAATACAATTTTTTACATTTAAAAAGAAGCTTTTAAAGTGAATGCAAAAAGACAGAATTCCATGCAGCTGAGACAGCATCAGAAGTTGAAGTGACCATTACGGATGACTGTAAAAGATTCACCTTTACAAGAAACCGCTGGCCTGCCCTGTGTAGAGTCCAGTTTCATTTTCTCTCTGGTCTTATGAAAGAGTCCACTGGCACCAGCAAGGTCCTTTCCTTCTGCTGTGGCAGTGTGCACCTGGGACTCTCCTGACGATTAACCACAGTTAAATCCAAAAGCTGAAAGAAATGCAAAGTGTTGATTTTAATTTACAGAAGGTACTTAGAATATGAAAGCATAAACACCTTTTTATTTCTTTCTTTTTGGCAGAAGAGAGAAGACTTTCTCAGCCCCTGATAATTTCTCTTGGGCTGATCCTGCTACTATTCGCAATAGGACTTGCTTTGGCAATTCCGTTTTTCGTAATTCCTTCATATAAAGCAAGTGAGTTATTTAAATGTCTGTTTCATTTTCCAGAGGTGCTCGTTTATGCTGTCAATACATTTTAGTGTGTAAATATCATGTTACAAGTGGAGTTAAGCTCTTGGTATTTTAAGATGTGGTCTTAACCAGCACAGGCAATGTAACAAGACACTGATAAGGCAAAACCTCTGAGCTATGTTCTAGATGGCAAGTCTGGGATGGGAAAAGCAAAACAACATCTAATTTAATACACATAAACTCATAAATTCACTGGAAGGAATTGACCTCATTGTTCTTAGTAAAGAAAGGAAATACTATTAAAATGCCCTTGGTTAAGGGTGTAATTTTTATCATGAAAAGAGCATTATCGGGAACCAAAAAATATCATGAGGCTGTTTATTTCCCTCTGAGAAACTCTCATATACTTATATAGGCATGTGTTTGGTTTTCTTCTCCAATTTGCAGAAAAATTTAAGTGTACTAGACCCTCAACTGGCTTTACTTCAACACCAAATGTAGAAGAGCCTGAAGACGAGGTCATATACTCAGAAATTGGTAAGTTCATGTCACTCCCCAAGCGGTCATGAAACTTAATTGTTGGAGTTTGGTAGAAGAATGCTGTTACGCTGTTTGTAGCTAGTATGGGCAAATTTCTTCAGATACTGCAAAAGCTGTGGAAGGAGACACCTACTACTACTCAGGGAGTAAAATAACTCTGCTGCTGACTCTGCCTGCCAGAGGCACAATTCGAAGTCGCACAGGATACGATACATATTTGGCACTTCCTGTGTGTCAGCCACGCAGCCAAAACCACAACTGTTTAAACAAACTGAAGTTTTATATAAAAATCTACCGTAAACAGAAGTAAAATGAAGAATTGCATTTGGCAACTCATGGTGAGGGTTCAAATAGCCATTACAGAGGAAAAGCAAACTAAAAGACAGTAAGTAGGTCAGAGGTGCAGTGCCCATTTACTAAGAGACAACAGTGGCCTGGATGCAAGTTATAGCAAAACAATGTGTCTCCTGCATACTGTTCAAAATTGCTCAGTGCACAATAATTCCCCGTTCCATGTTTCCTAACTTTGACATGAGTCAGAGTTAGTTCAAACTGAAATGATGTAATGCCAGATAACAAAGCAACTGACCAATGTTAAGAGATTGTACTACTTCAGTTGCAGAAAATACACAATAATGAAGACATTACATGAAAGCCACAGTGGTATTAACTTACAGTTTTCTACATTTGAGTTCTATGTGAATGTCAGTATTTTCAAGGGAAAATGAACCCCCCCCCAACAAACAGCAAAGGTGTCATGCTTCCTGTTTCTAAGTATCACAAAAGGAATCATTCTCACCAAAGAAATCTGCCTTCCTGCTCATGAGTAGATAGGTAGAACTCCAGCTGCTCTGCTGTGCTAGCTGAGTGCAGTGCAAGATACCCATCAGCATAGCCTGCAAGGACAGTGACAGGAGCTCTATTAAGGCCCATGAACACTGCAGAAATCATGGCAGATTTACACTCAATACAGAATCTCACTGCTTTATTTCAAGATTATTTAAAGAAACAAAGTCTGGTCGGTCTCAAGTTAACTGCTGTTCATCCTCTAATCCAGTGCCTGTTAAACCAGAAGAAGAATACGTCAACTTTTCTGTTTTAAGAAGAGAAGATGAAAAAGGTGAAAACCTCAAGCTATAATACTGGTGTTTTCTGGGGGGGAAAGGCAGGGTTTACCCAGCAGCAGTTACAATACTGGAATTGCTTACTTTCTGTGGAGAAATTAAAAGTAACTGAGATTCTTCTGAAGGGGTTAAAAAAGCAAACCCCAAATAGAAAGCTTATCACCATCCTAATTGTAAAAACTCACCAGCCCATTATGAAACCACGCAGGGGATGTTAGTAGTGACCAAACTGCTGATGGCATGAATATTAATTCTTCTGCTGTGTATATGTACCCAGAAAAAGCCACTAAGAATTCTGTTATTCTGCCTTTTTGCAGACAAGAGGGTGTGTGCCACCGTCTACTCAAGTGTGTTGAGCAGAGACTGAGTATAAGGTAAGATCTCTTTTGTGATTAACTTAATTGTGTATTTTGAAATAATCTTTCAGTCCCTGGGTGTGGTTAAGTATCACCAAGGCTACACAGAAAGAGATGGTATTGAGATACTAGTTTCCTGGCCTAATGATTTGGTACAGACAATATTGCTTGCTCTTTACAAACACCCCAAAGTCATCACCTCTAAGGACTTGAACTTAAAGAACAAGCAGAAAACAAACAGATAAAAATTGGAATTAACAAAGAGCTACATAACAATCCCATTAGACAAACAGTAGCTTATTGCCCAAATAGCACCATAAACCCAAACCGACTCAATGCAATCAGTCAGGTAAGATCCTGCTGGACACAAGATATAGTCTGGCATTATATGCATCTGCTGAATAACCAGAAAGGAATAAATGATATAAACTGTTCACCCAGACCCAAGTTCTGTACATTTAACAACCCTCCTGCAGCAGAAACTGGACTGTATAAAAATGTAAGATAATCAAAAGGCTCTAGTTAAGTATTTAACATATATATATATATATATATCCAAAGTGTGCTGTTCTCTTAGGCACATACTAGAACATCCATCCATATGTGGCCTCTACCTGCTGTCACCTAGCAGCAAGGGTGGCAATTTCTCAGTTCAACGTTACTTCAGCTCTCAGAGTAGGGAAAGGATGCTAAAATTAACTTTTTGGGACAGCTAATTCCAAAACAAATTCTGCATCCCACAACAGGCTGTTTCATAGATGTTTCTGGGTTGTTTTCATGTTGTTCTATGGCCATTTACATTGAACTTCATGAGTTCAGTAAGGCACAGATCCATAGGATGCTAATCTTGCTTTATATCTGGCAGTTACAAATAACCCATTTATAGTTAAATGAGCACCATGTCAATAGAAGAAACGTTTAAGGCAAGTTATTTTGCTTCATGGCATTGATGACCACCGGGGGCCACATGCGTTGCTGCATACACCTTAAAGGACTTTATTAAAGTGACTTAAGCTATACACACATTGGAAATTACTGAAGATCAGAATAATTTCATATCTATGCAAACACTCATATCTAACTACAACACTTCAGCATAGATAAATATTATCACAGATTAATTAATCTTTTTCCACCATTTTCTAGGTACATACATTTTTGTCCAAAAAAGAGTGCTTGTCAAAAACTGTTTACAATCTATTTCCTCTCTTACTCCTGATAATGTATTTTTGATTTTGATGTTTATTAAGGGGAAGACGAAGTAGCTTAAATGCTGAGGAACTGATGCCATGTGATTAAAATACACCCCTACAAACAGACATTACAAAGACATTTACTGATGTTATTGGAACATTCAGAATTTGGAGGTCTTTTTTATAGAACACAATTTTCCAGCAGAGACCTTAAGTGTGATGGCAACACACGAATTAAAGATTTTTAGGTTAAGATGGAGTATTTTCAATAAGATAGTATAACTAGAGACATGACAAAGAATACAGTTAGCCCTGCTAATGAGGGACAAGTTTGTCTCTTCTCAAGGTAAGCTGGAAGACCCAGATGGTCTGGAGTTGATAGAAAAGAGATGCACTGCCAAGTTTTACAGGTCCATGACACTGCAGAAGCCAGTTCAGGCACAGATGTTTAAGAAATTCCTTTTATTCAACACATATAAATTCACACATTTTTGGCTGATGTTACATACTTAGTTAAAAAGTCCGTCAGCCTAGAAATATGCATCATTTCCTTCATGGTTGTATCTCTGCTTCTCAGCTGGATCACTCCATTCTCTAGAGTGGCATCAGTTATCAAGATCACGAAGAGAACACCCATCTCATCATACCTGCAGAGAAAAGAGCACTCCTGTTACTGCTTCTGGTGTATGAGAAATTCAGATAAATTATGTACAAATGACCATCATCTGTAAGTATTTATTCCTGCAATACTGCACGAAGTCCAGGATGAAGACACCAGTCTCCTGTTGCCCTTCCTTGCTTTCCTGACTATGGTTCTTTAAATTATTTACTTTAGTACATAAAGAATGTTATTTAGTGACCTACTACAAGAGTATTTTTGTAAAAGCAGAATATATCTTTCTGACTTGCTTTGAAGACTACTGCACATGAACGAAGAGTTGTATTTATTTTCTCTCAGCCTAAAATATTCACCAATATGCTCAAAGTTCACTCCTGATCAACAAATCGCATATGATGTCCTGAAATGGAATAGCAGATTTATCTCCACAAATAATTCCATCACATACACTAATGGTTCCAGACTTGGAAGAATTTTTAAGCTCAAAGACTAGACACACGGTGCCATTTGAAATAGTACTTAAGAATGAAATGCAGAACCAGCCCAGATGCAAAAGTGGGGGTTGAGGGTAGGAAACACTTCTCGGGCTTGTAACTCATCTCAAGAAGTTTATTTTCAACTGGAGAGTCTCTAAAGGGCATTTCACAGTTCCAGAGAAACGAAAACACCATGTGAAGGCTTATACTTAATTTTAGAAATGAACTGACATTGCTTTCTGTAATAAAACTCATTGATGCCAGGTTCATGGTTTGGATGCATGCCTTCAGCCACTTGGTTACTGCACTCGATGACTTACTGAAAACAGGCTTATTTTCTCTAGTCCACAGAAAGTCATCTGTCACCTTCATAGTTTAATTTATAAAAGACTGTTTCTCCTTACTTTGTATAAAGCTGTTCCAGAGATACCTGCACAGTTTCAAGGTAGCCCGGCCATACAGAAATTCTGTTTTCTGACAGTTCATTGAACAATCCTTGACAAACCTGTGTTTATTGAAAAACAGGAATTAAAAGACAGATTTGAGGGCTTGAAACTCTGAACAAAAACCCATTAAAGCTCTAGTATGTGAGGTATTAGCATTCCCAGCTGGTGTTAATTCTCTGGCTAAAATAACCTCAAATCAGAAAGCAGCCCAGTAAATACATCTCTGTTTCTATCTGAAAACATGCCAGTGCAAGGTCCCTCCCTTCTGTGGGGACCAACTTAATGACTGACTGAAATAAAGACCTTTAAAAAACCCTTCTGAAGCTGTGACCCACACGTTAAGATAACCCTGAAAGATCAGGAATTTGAGAGGGATTGTGTTATTTATTTTCCTTAATTTTGCATGGAATAAGTATCAACCCTCTAACAACAGTAAAAGCAGCATGTTAATGTAAGGAAGGCATCTGCTACTCATTATCTGCAGTATCCTCCAGCTACAACTCACAACCTGCTCTGTGAAACCTCTACGACCACAAACCTCCATGATCCAAAGCAGCAGCATGATTTTCCCCAGTGTAAACAGTGTCTGAATGGTAACAGAATGTTATGTGGAGTCAGTGTTCAGAATTAAAATACTTTCTTACAACATACCTGTCTCAGCTCTGTTGTTGGACCTTTTCCTACATCCAAGGCCACTTTCAGAGGTGCTAAACAAGGATGAAGCTTAAGTACCTAATAATATTACAAAAAGCAACAGATTACTACATATGCTTAGTGTGACATTCTAAACAGAACGAGGAAATTGTACTATTTTTTCACTGAAATTAAGGTTCTAAACATGCCTGAATTTTGTCACAGCACAAAATCCTGATTAGAAGCATGCTGTATGTTACATCTAAAGTAGCACACAGGGCAGCTAGGTGAGCATGGCAGAAACTACTCCATTTTCTCTGAGCCATGGAAAAGACATAAAGCTTTCTTAGCGGAGCTCAGTCATCTTTAATGGAGGAAATGATCAGAAAGCCCAGCAGACAGTTATCATCCAACCTAATAGATCAGACTGATTTCTGGCTGTGTGAAAGCCAGAAAACCAGAGTAAAAGTGGGAAAAGTGACGGTCCTTAGGGGAATGCCCCACTACCACTTGGCACCCACTTTTCTGCTCATCTCAGCAACCTTCAAATGCTGCTGCAAGAGATAAACTCCTCTCTCCAACCACAACAGCGTCATTCCAACCACTCTTATCACCATCACCTGCATGACAAGGGCCTATCTACTCTTAAGAGGAAAAGAAGGTAAAACAGGAAAGGTGACCTCAGAATGAGAGAGAAGTTGCTTATGTGGGTGAGAAGGATGGCAGAGGCAGTCCCATGGGGCCATCTTATACCAGTGAGGAGTGTTCTGAGTGTGGCTGTTTGGGATCAGAGGATGTGATTTGGAAAACGGAAGTATCCCCCCATCCTTGAATTTACTACACCATCTGTGGGGTTTGTACTTAACCTTCCCTTACACTTTCTACAGAAAGTTACCTTTCTCTGTGCAATTTTCTTTTTTGTTAAAGGATTCTCAGCTAGCTGCAGGGAATCAAACAGATATGCTAACACTCCTCGGTCCAGGTTTCCACTCACAGACAGAACATGGGGAATAACATTCTTCCTTCCATCTCGACCCTGAAGAGAAAAAACCCACAAAGCAATACCTCAAAGACTGTCCAGAAAAGCCTTTTGCTTACTTTAATGTCTAAGGAGGCACTGAGCTTGAGCACCTTTGCTACATGTAAAATACACTCAGACATGTTTTAAAGTTACCAGCCATCTTAAAAGTGTAACAGCAACCAGGTAAGACTGTAACACCAGGGGAAGAAGGGGATGGAGCAGGATGGGATTACGTCCTTGTCCTGCTGCTCTGACTGTAATTTTAAATCTACAGCAAATGCACTTGAAACTGCATTTTCTTTTGCAGCTTTGTAGATTACTTGAGTGACCACAAGAGTGTGTCCCCACGTTAAGAAATCCCTATGTAACCATTTCTGCATAGAAACAGACTACAAAACCAGGAGAGACAGGCAGAGTATCAGCTGCACTGCTGGTACATGCTAAGCAACTGGACCACCAAAGAAACCATTTCTCTCACACAGTCATCTTTATCAGAAATGACTTTTAATAGAATAAAGCTTACAAGTAATTTTGAATTATCTCCTGGATACATCTGTAACAGTTCAGTATCTCCAAGGTTCTTCAATGTTTCTATTGTTTCTGTCCCCCAAGGAAATCTGTAATGCAAATTAAATCCTTTTCTTCCTTTTTCATCCTGAAA